TCGAGTGAAAATTTAAAAGTTACCCAATTCTTCTTGCACTCTCCAGGGGCACCCAACGAGAATATAGTTCAAAACCACTTAAACATAGCATTGTTAAACGTATTTTAGTATTTAAACGGTAGATAAAGGCAGTATCCCCTAAACTTTATCTGTTCGGATTTCCTAGCTGAAAGTCTAGTGATCCGAAAATTATAGGGATCAAAACTTACCTTTTCGAAAATTTCAGCCAGAAAAAAGGCTCCTGAAAATTCGAGGTGACCTTTTTAGCCGATAAAAATCCGTTAAAAAAGGGCAAATATACCATTTTTTAGATGCTCGAAAATCCTAGGAGAGGCAGGCAAGCAAGAAATTTTACAACAAATGTTCTGAAAATTCTAGATCTCAAATTGTCTTCCGAACAGATATTTTCCGAAAATTGACGTTGGGCGCCCCAGTGACTGTCCAGAGCAAAAAAACTGTCATTAGCACAGAGGGTGAAAGGGTTAACACTCAACCGTCAAACGGCAATATTCCGTTGCAACCGTCAAACGAAGTGGTAATTATTAGTCCAAAGTCCTTTCATTAGTCCACAATTTCAAACCAAACAATGGGCTACTCGAGCTCTTGCGTTTAACCTGCCCGAGTATTTTTTTAACAGCTGTCATCTTTTTAGCCCGGGGGTACTCCGCATATGAAAGGGGTGGGGATGCTCGTCGAAAATTTTGAATTAAACCCCTAAAGGAGACCGATCTCGGCGTGGCCCAAGCTTTTTTTGACCCGTAAAAGAGACCATGTTAAAACACAGACAATATATATATTTTTATATTTTTTCACGAGCAACCCTCAACAAGACCTTCACGGCTAAATATGATGGCGTTTTGCCCAAAACACCCTAAGTGAGACCAAAATCTGAAACTTTCACCCCTAAGCGAGACGACGAGCATCCCCACCCCTTTCATATGCGGAGTCCACCCCCGGGCTTTTTAGACGAAGGTCGTATACTATAACCATTTATTCTTTCACTTTCACTGGGATAAGTATACGACTTCGTTTTGAAAACAAGTGTGTTGAGCCAATCACAAACGTAGAAATGTTTTGAATGGATAATGACATTTATTATCCCGTTTTTCCTCAGGTAATTCAGCAACACTGGAGGCGGAAATAATGCAGCGAATCATGAACAGCAAGACGGCCTGGAAATTAATCAACTCTACGGCTGGAATTCCAGGCACAGGTAACGTAATGAATATCGACGTCGAAGTCACACAGGACTTTCCTTTGGTATCTATTGTCACCATGCTTGCGCCATCACCTGATTGGTTCACTGGAATTAAGAAGGTATCCCTTTGTGACACCTCGAGCGGAATGTGGATGGACAGTCACACAATTTATGATCTACAACCCTGGGATGCCGGCACCGACAACGGGACAACTTTCATGGCTGCGAATAATCCGACTATGCCCCCCGGTTATATCAGCATGATCACTAAACTTGCACCACCAACAGATTTTATGAATCTTTCCGCGTCAGCAATACCAACACTGGGTAAGATGATGTTCGTGAGACAAAACAAGCCAACCATGAATCAATGCAGTGGCATGTACAATTACACAGTCAAGTTTGAGGCGAAATGGTCACAGGCTACCCACCCCAACGGATGGCCGAGTGGAGCCAAGTTCTCCCCTCTCGTCATTGCTACTCACTCGTACAAATACAAAATGTGGAGTGATATGACCAGAGCCTCACCGGGTGTCAAGAAAGTTGCGGAAACAGGTGCGTCAATTTTTAAGAATTGATTACTAGTAAGATTTCTCTAAGTGATTACACTGATGGGTATGCGGAGGGAAAAAATTACAGCGGGAAAGTTAAACAAACTTAAGCCTCTAACAGAATTTTTCATAACCGGGACCAAGGTTACTTGCTAAAGGCCTATTATTCCAACTAGAACGCTCTTTCAATGAATCCGTGTGGCAAAAATCTCACCTAATTCTCAGATTGACATATTGACTGACTACTATGAATCAGTGAGCTCACGATTATGAATAATAATATATTTCTTTATATAGCGCTAAATAGATAGAGGATACTACACGGTGGCGCGAAGATATGACTTTTATTTGCGAGTGGCAAAACAATCTGTTTTTACGAAAGAGCGCAGCGGGTAAGTAAAATATTGTTTTTGCCACGAGAAAATAAAATTTATATCTTCAAGCTGCTTCAAGCCGACGTGTAATGTTCTTTTTATTATAAAGACAAAAAGACATCGATAAAATAATAGATTTTTATTCGCCAAACGGTAATTGTGACGGCTCACATTTACAGTACAGCAATATAAGACATTGTTTACAATAATCTTGGGAAATAACACTGAGCTGAATAGGGCTCTACATTGCCAAAATATAAGCAAAGCTTTGGGAAATGAGTAATTGAAATTCAAAGGACGCAAGACGCCTACAAATATTGAAGGGAAATCACCGAAATTAAAACATCGATAAACTCACGTGTGAGATTATGGAAAATAAACCACCCGGGTCCCGGATGTATTTTTCACGA